CAAATACCGCATCGACGGACGCGCGCCCGGTACAAGAGAGATCGTCGTCGCCTTCGCCCGAAGACAGCGGCGACGATCGGGCGGACGACTACCGGTGGGCCGGCACCGACGGCTCGTCGGCCGACATAGACCTCATGGCCGACCGCCGCCAGAACCGGCCACTCCGAAGCGGCTCATCGTCTTCTTCGTCGGCCGCAGCCGCCGCGAACAACCACAAGGAGAAGGAGAAGGGCGAGGAGAGCGACAAGGAGGAGGAGGACGAGGAGGAGCCTCTTCATCCGCTCCACCCCAAGTACAACCCCTTCGTCCAGCTGGACGACGTCGAGGACGTCGAGGGCCTGCTCGTCCGAAAGAGAGGCGAGTCGGCTGGCCGCAGCTCCTCATCCTCTTCTTGACCAACCTCCTCGCCTTCGCCTTCACCTTCGCCACACTTCCCGCCACAACGACGCAACTACGCGCAAACAACAAATAAACATCTCGCGCGTGTACGTTGCCATGACGTAGCAGACAATTCTTATCTTCTCTTCCATGATCAGTTGCCCTAACGACGCAGGGTCTAATCAGACATGCGCTTGCCCGTCACCACGAGCTTGTGGCTGTTGTCAATCACAAGATTAAAAAGAGATGAAGGATGGTGTGAGCTTTGTGCCGATAGACGACAAGGCGGGCGACCTGGCGGCGGTGGAGGACCTCTCATCGCCGGTGCGGCCATCGACCGCTACCGCCCTCGAGTGGGCGAAGATGGGCCAGTCATCGTGGTGGCGCACCTCTATCGCGACCCTGCGGCGTCACGAGGCGAGGAGAAAGAAGATGGCGGAGGAGAGGCGGAGAAGAAAAAGACGAGGGCGGGGCTGGAGAAGCACTTCGCGACGGTGCAGCCGTGGGCGACCCCGAGGGGCACCGAGACGAGAAGGAAGAAGAAGCCGACGACAGCATCATCCAGCCCGGACCTCACAACCCCGGGTCCAGCACGACGACGACAAAGAAGAAAGAGAAGCGAAGCCAAAGAACGAAAGCGAGAAGAGCGAAGCGGCGGTTGGAAAAGCGCCTAAGTCAGAGGTAAAACCAGAACCTACGGCCGCCCACTGTGCGAAGAAAGAGGAGAGGCTGCAGAAGAGCCTTTCGCTGTCGGTCATCGGTCAGGTGGCCGAGGAGATGGAGCAGAGGTCGTCGAGCAAAGCTCGACGCGGTGGAGGAGGAGCCAAGGGTCCGCTGCCAGTGCGGACTGACATGCCGGACCGGCAGCGGAAGCGGCACCAGGTCATCAACGAGATCGTCAACGTGCGTGACCTGCAGGTCTTGCTGGCTGTCTTCGTGTAATTACTCCCATATCCTCCAAGAGCGCACGAAACTAGCACACATCATCGCACACACTCATGACCGCACACGCACACGCATCACTGCACCGCGACACAGTGCGCCGATGCAGAGTAAGGGGATAGTGACGGCGGAGGAAGCGAAGCTGATGTTCTCGAACGTGAAGACGCTGCTGGCGATCAACAAGACGCTGCTGTCCGACCTCATCGGGCGTGTTAAGGCCACCCATGGCAACAACCTCGGCGACATGAAGGACGTTGTTTCGCTGAGTCACCGCATCTCCTCTCCTAGCCCTCCGCACCAAGCCTCGCTTTCGCTTTCGCTTTCGTTCTTTTGTTCTTGCGGACATTAAGTAGTGTACTCTACAAAACTTGACATCATCAGCAGTCGGCGAGGGAAGCTGCGGAGTCGAGGGCGGTCCGGTAGGCGAGGACCCAGTGCGACCTGTGGTCGGCCGAGACAAAGGGCACGACGTACTCGTCGCCGCCGCTCGTGATCTCCACCGTGGGCGACGCGGCCTTGGCGTCACAGTCCTCCGCGCTGGTCGGCTCGTTCAGGTCCACCTGGGCATCGAGGAGCGACAGCATCGCCTGCACCTCCACCTTCTTGGTGGAGCCACTCTTCCTCCTGGCCGAGGCCGCTGCAGTGATTGATTGTTTGATTAAGTTGTTGCGTCTCCAGGGAGCTTGGCTTGCTTCAACACACCGATACTCCAACACACACGCGCGGCGAACCTTTCGAACTCGCGGGCGCCGTGGTGAGGACGAGGAGATCGGAGAAGAGGAAGTAGTGCAGGGCCGACAAGCACTTCGTGTCCTTGCAAGCCGAAGAAGGGGTCAGCTCAAAAATGCCAAATGTGAATGTGAGGCGTGGCGCATACCTGGGCCATCTTCTGGAGAATGCCCTCTTGGAAGTACTTGCGGCCAGGCACCACCAGCGGCACGTCGAACCGCTGCTCCACACTCGTCAGCTGGGGCCAGACTGTGTGCGGTGTTGTGTGCGTGCGTGTGCGTGTGCGATGATGCTGCATGTGCAGTGTAAGGAGTACCTCGGTGCCCTGGAGCCGCTCGATGACGTTGGCCATGGCGTCCATCTCCTCCTCCAGCTTCTGACTGTTGTTCACGCTCACCACCACCTCGTGGATCTTGTCCAGCGCGCGCGTCAGCCTCTCGAAGTCCCGGTGCTCCGCGTCCGTGAGGCTGATCAGCTCCTGTTCCGTGTGTGTGTCGTGTCGTGTCGTGTCGGGTGCGATTGTGTGCGCGTGTCGTGTCGTGCACAATTGAGCGTAAGTGAGAGCACACAAGAGCCCAGAAAAGTGTGGAGGCAATGTACCCGGAGCAGAAGCGGGTACTTGCATAGTCGCTGCATGGGCTTGATCAGGTAGCTGTCGAGATTGAGCAGCCTGGTCTGCTCGTTGTCGTGCGCCTGCTGCAGCGCCTCGCGGAAGCTGGCATTGGTCTTGGTGCACCGCGCCAGCGTCTTGTAGGCCGTCTTCTGGTTGGCGCAGTAGATCGCATACATTCTCAAGTAGTCCCCCTGCGCGTTGCCCGCCACGTCAGCACACTCACAGGGCACACGACACGACACACGTCGCACACACGACACACGCGCGGCGCACACGATACACGAAGAGAGGGTGGTGTACGAAGAGGAGGAAGCATTCGCCGATGTTGTTGCCCTGCGAGGCCCCGACGCGCGCTTCGAGGTCGGCCAGGAGCGCCTGGTTGATGGCCATCAGCGTCTTCACGTTGGAGAACAGCCGTCGGCCCTCCTCCGCCGTCACGATCCCCTTGCTCTGCAACGGCATCCTGTGTTGCGTGTGGTGTCGGTTAAACCAGTTTAAACGCCATCAATTGGTTGCTGTCGAAATTGTGCAACTACAACACTATTTTAACACACCAATGGGCACGTTTGACAGATCTTTGGTGCGACAGGAACCAATGAGCAAACGACGCGGGCAGCCGAAAGAACGAGACCAAGAGGTGAAAAGAACGAAGGCTGGGTGGCGTACATGAAAACGGAGAGGAGCACTTGCAGGTCGCGCACGTAGTCCCTCTCGGTGGTCACGATCTCGTTGATGACCAGGTGCCGCCTCCGCTGTCGCTCGGGCATGCCGTCCCCCACCGGCAGCAGCACCACCTCGCCCACCAACAGCAGCGGCGGCTGCGTCGTCGTCGTAGTAGTAGTTGACACCTCCGCCACGGCCTCGAGTTCCCGGCTCGACGACCGGCGCTGCATTTCCTCGGCCACTTCGGGGATCGCAGACAACGACCGGCTCCGCTTGTGCCGCGTCGGCTCGACCACCGCACCGTCGGCCGCGTCCATCGTCATCTTCTTCATCTTCTTCATCATCGTGGCGGCCGGTGGTGATGGGGCAATCATGGAGCCCCGGCGCTCTCTGGGCGAGGCCGAGGCCGGCTGGGACGATGACGTCAGCACCGTCACCACCACCGGTGCCGTCCGCTCTATCGTTATTTCCGGCACCACCACCAACTTCTTGTTCTTCTCCTTCTTCACCTTCTTCGTCTTCTCGGGCATCGTCGAGGCCTTGTCCTTCTCTTTGCTCTTCCGCCTCTGGAAGACGCCGCTGCCCTTCACCTTCGCCGGCGCCTTGGCCGAGGTGGTGGAGGAGGAGGCGACGTGGGCTTCGACGTCGGCCGAGCTCGTGGGCATGGAGGAGCGGCGAATCACGACCGGCGCCGAGCACGAGAGGAGCTCGGCCACCGAGTCCCGCCGCAGGCCGGCCGCGAGCCTGGCCAGCTCCTGCATGCCTGGGTCGCTGCTTCGGCGCAGGTCTGTGTCGAGCGCTGCGTCGGGCTCGGCGGCGCCGAACAACGGCAAAAGGTGGTCGGTGGCCTGGTGGGGCGCAAGAAAGATGGGCGAGTCCTGGTAGTTGAGTGCGTCGAACTCGAACGACCCGGGCGGAGAGAGTAACACGGGCGACGAGCAGGTGGGGGCTGCGGCCGCGGCTGCGGCTGCGGCTGCTACCGGGTGAGCCGGCTCCGACGTCGGAGGCAACGGCGTTGAGGAGTGCGATGAGGGCCTGAGGAACGAGGCTATACTGAAACGCCGTGGACTCTTGACCGGTTGCTGTACCTGCTGCACCTCCATCATCTTCTTCTCTCCTTGTTGTTGTTTTTTGTTTGCTTCTTGAAGGGAGAAGACTGAGCTTGGATACAGCGAACAACAGCTCACCGGAGATGTTTGTCGTTGTGAATTGAAATGATTGGTTCCCCATAAAAAAAACACATCGTCGACATTCCGCGCCAGTCGACAGTGCTGGCCAACAATTATATAAAAATAAAAATAATAATAATAATAAAAACGCAAAAGATGAAGTTGCACCGCTGCCGTCTTGCCGGGTCGCTGGTGTTGTCGTGCGGCAGAACGGCGGGCGTGAGCACTGCATGGACTCTGGGACACCGAGCCGCACCCCTCACCACCAGTGTACTACTGCCCCCCCACTAACCATAACCCCACGGGTGCTCATCGTGGTGCGTGTGCGTGTCGTGCTATGAGATAGGCCGAGTACGGTGGGTGGGCCATTGAGAAGCGTGGCAGCGATGAGAAGGCCGAGGTGCGGGTGGTGCGCATGGCGTCGAACCCGGTGAACTGCATCAACCCTGCGTTCCTCGACCAACTCGACGCCACGCTCGAGCGACTCGAGGGCGAGAACGCCTCGTCCCAGCCCTCGCCCGTCGTCTTCGCCTCTGCTTCGGGCACGCCTATTTATTTATTTAGTATTTTATTTTCAATTATTCATTAGTAATGTTATTTCCTACAGAGAAGACGTACTGTGCGGGGCTGGACCTCAAGACGGTGCTGGCCATGTCCCGTGACGAGCTCACCCACTTCATTGATCGGTTCGTGTTGTCAACACTTGGCACTTGGCTGCTTCTACGTTGGGCGCGGTGATCACTGACGTACGTGCGGCTTTTCTTTGGGGCCTGGTCAGGCTGAACGCGTCGTACGTGCGTCTGCTCACGCTCGACTGCCCGACCGTGGCGGCGGTCAACGGCCACGCCATCGCCGGCGGAGCTCTCCTCGCTCTCTCCGCCGACTATCGTGTCGCCGCTGCCCCCGGTACGCACCACTGAGCAGCTGATCATTGATGCCATGCAACTCGCAACACACGAGAGACTCACGACACACCACACACACACGCACACACACACACACACACACACACACACACACACACACACACACACACACACACACACACGACACACACACAAAATGCAGGCAAGAGTTGGTTTGGGGTGAACGAGGTGCAGCTGGGGATACCGTTCCCCTGCGGACCCTGGGCAGTGATGCACCACGTGGCCTTGACCCACCCGCGCCTCTACGACCTCACCCGGAGCGGCGATCTGGTTAGCCTCGACGCCGCGCACCACCAGTTCGGCCTCGTCGACCACCTGCTGCCCGCCGGCGCCGACTTGACCGAGGTGCGTAGGGCTTACAAATGAAAGGTGAGACGACCACCCGGTATTGAGAGTGGCTGTTGTGTGTGTGTGTGTGTGTGTGTGTGTGTGTGGCGTGTATGTATGTGTCGTGTGTGTTGTGTGTGTCGTGTGTGTCGTGTTACGGTGAGTAGGGCAGTGTCGACTATGCGAGGACGAAGGTGGCGCACCACAGCCTGCGCGCGTTCGTGGCGGTGAAGCAGGTGCTCCAGCGGCCCATCGTCGAGCGCTACGACAGCGAGCGGCGCGCGGGCGACCTCGACCGCACCTTTGTCGACATCTTCTTCTCCGACGCCGCCCGCGGGGCCATCAAGAAGCGTTTGGAAGGCCTCAAGGGCTGATCGAACCGCAGCACTCTTTGATTTATTTATTTATTTGTTCAATTCTGAAAAACAATTTTCTTTTTTTTGTTGATAAATAAATAACCAAACAACCGGCAAGGATGAGAGCGGTGGCGGCAAGAGGGAGGGCTGGCACCTGGGGTCCGGTAGCTGCTGGCGCCACTCGTCCAGTTGGAGCGTTCAGGACACTCTACAACCCTGCGAGCGGCGGGCACATGTGTTCATCCTTGAAATCCCGGAAATTAATCGCATCTCAATCTTCTGCTGTCCGGCTCACCCCTACGCACAACAACCTTCCTTCCTGTGCAACCCTCCGACTCTACTCCACCCCCGTACTGCCCTTTCTCGAGACAGTGATTTAATATTTATCTTTAATATTTATTTTTTATTTTTTATTTTTTATTTTTAATTGGCGGTGCTGGCACCAGGCGGACGCGAAGGCGACGGCGGAGGAGCCGACGACGGCAAGGCCTGCAAGACCGCCCCATCGGTCGCGGTTCCTGTCGCCCTTTCTCCTGCCCGTGGCCTGGCTGCTGGAGCGATGGGCCGCCTGGCGTTGGCTTCAGTACCACACCGCACACCCGCGCTGCGTGTGTAGTGTCGTGTCGTGCTGACTCTGTGCGCACGTGCAGGTACGAGCTGGACAAGGCGGAGACGAGCATGCGGCGAGCTGTGAAGATGCGGGAGCGGGTCTACGGCGCCGACCACCCCGATCTGTGCAACCACCTCGCGCCGTACGCCACGCTCCAGCGGATGCGGGGCGACCTGGCCCTCGCACGGACGCTCACCGAGCGGGTGGTCCGCATCTGCGAGAAGTACGCCGGCGAGGAGAGCTTCCTCACAGCCCTCGCCCTCCACGACCTGGGCAACGTCACCGAAGGTACAGTGCCCACGCCTTATTAACGCAACGCAACGCGTCTTAACTCGTTGTCCCTGGCTGAGGTCAGACTTGGGCAAGAGCGACGACGCCGAGCGGCTCTATCGTCGGAGCATCGAGCTTATGGGTACGCCCGATCTTTGCGTTGCTTCTTCTCGCGCGCATGAAGTGTACGAGTGACACGATTCCTCTCTTCAAAAAGCTCGATCGGTGCTTCCGCTGCCAGAGGAGGAAGAAAAGCGAAAGGAGATCAAGTAAGCCACACACACACACACACACACACACACACACACACACACACACACACACACACACACACACAGAGAGAGAGAGAGAGAGAGAGACGAGACGACGCAACACACACACACACACACACACACACACACACACACACACACACACACACACACACACACACACACACACACACACACACGGCCTACGTTGAAACATACACTCACGCTGTGAGCGATAGAGAACGGAACGAGAATGCGGAGGCCAAGACGATGGAGGTCAAGTGCGATCTGGCGGTGCTGCTCGAGCACATGGGCAAGCACGTGGAGGCCATGCCGCTGCACGAGGAGCTGTTCCAGAAGGCGTGGGATGTGGAGCGGTGGGACCACCCCTTCTTCCACTCGCACCTCCACGCCAGCAAGCACTGGCGCGTTAAGCACTTTGTCGAGGCGCGGCGGCTGGCGCGGGAGGACCGGGAGAAGGAGGCCCGCCGGCAGGAGACGGAGGGCATGGGCGAAAAAGAGGGCAGCTTCATTCGCCTCAAGACACCTGCCGTCCACAACGTACGCTCTCGCACGCCCGCTCTATGCCTACATATACTTAACACGCACCGCACACCCACGCACCGCACACGCAGGACGATGAGTGGACGCCCGAGGTAAATCCGTCGCGTACGGCGGACAGCGGGGCCAAGGGCGAGCACGAGGTCCAGGCGCTCAAGAAGGAGGTGCAGGAGGCGATGAACGCCCTGAACCGGGAATACATGAAGAAGACGCAGGACCTCACCAACGAGCTCGCCTACCGCAAAGTCATCGACAAACTCTCAACCACGCTCGGTACCGCAATTCTGGCACACATTTGTTTCAATTTTCTTTTTAGTTATTTTCTTTTACATTTTACATTTTACTTATTTTGGTTATGTGGTCGCCAGGCGTCGAGCATCCGGCGCTGTGCCGGCATCTTTACTACATGGCCCACGTTTACATGGGTACCTACCTCGAGTCCGACTCGTTCAACACGCTTAGTGGTCGCGGGAGCTCACATGACCACACGCTCTCCATCAGAAAATGAGCTCTATCCAGAGGCCGAGAGCATGATCAAACGCGTGCTGTCGATCCAGAAGCGAGAGCGGGGTACGGCGCCATACACTGTGCGTGTGCTGTCCACAAAACTCACGCGGCACGCAGGACCCTACAGTGTCCCCACGGCCACGGCTTGGGGCGTGCTGGCCGATCTGTGCCTCAGGCAAAAGTGGGTCACCTCCTTCACGCCGCCACCACCCGCCGTTCACAAACAGAAGGGACACTTACCCGAAGGCTTCACCACCTCCACCCAGGAACTTGGAAGACGCTGCGCGGCTCATGGCGCAAGCCCTGGAGCGCAAGCGCGAGGTGCTCGGCAACGGCCACATCACAGTGGGCATGTTGGAGTACGAGATGAGCGGAGTAGCTCAGGAGATGGCCAAGTTTAACACCGGTACACGCACTCACCAACCGCGAAAACTTTTGACGCCGCACATTGACACGACACACACGACACACACGACACACGACATGCACACCGTATAGCCATCAGTTGCTTGAAGCGAGTCCGGAGTATCTTCGCCCTTGTCCCTGCTGCCAAGTACGTAGTTCAAGCAGCGTCTGTTTCGTTGGGCCTGCTTAACAAGTTCGGCGGACACACACAAACAGGACTGGCGACGAACACGCGGAGCATCCGTGGGTGGGGGTGGTACGCAACCGGACGGAGGAGTTGAAGGTGATCAAGGATGCTGCGATACGCCAGTTCATTAAGCGCGAGCAGGGCCAGGACGCCTCTAGCTTCCTTCAGTCTCCGGGTGTGTAGCTACACAACACGCGCATAACACACACACCCGCACACACATTCTGCTCTAACTCGTACACCTTCGAGTAGAACGCGGTGGTTTGCTGGGCACGAGCCATTCGGAGGACAGCGGCGTGCCACAGGCACAGGAGCAGGCAGGATCACCCTTCTCTCATCAACCACCAAACCTCACAACACACAACACACTGCTTACGCTTACTCTGCCTTGCCTCTGCTCTCTCTCTTCTCTCAACAGGACGTGATGGCCGCCATTGCCGGATACACGACCAGTGGTCGCGTAAACCTGTAGGCCACAGGTTCTCTCTCCCTTTTAGCCACTCTTTTGGTGATTAAAAAAAGGAAATGATGCGACAGAGCCGGGCAAAAACCGGAAATCGATTCGCAGAGTTGGGGCTTATGGTCGTGCTGTGGTCTGGTGTGGTCGGTCGACGGCAAATGAAATAAGGGGTGCTCTATTATTCCTCGTTGCTCCCAAAACTACCTTCGTCGAGTATCTTGGTTGTTGTGGTTGTGTGACATACCCCAGAGTCGCTTTGGGCTGGTAGCTTGAATCAAGAATATAGGTACCCATCTCTACCGAACGTCGCTGGAATCAACATGGGCTCAACTATCAAAGAATAGTTGATATTTATCGAGCCACACACTCATCACTGGCCCAACAGATGAGCGATGAGCCGGCACCATAATGACTCGAACAACAGAGCGAAGGCTTCTCCTTCAACTTCCTCTTCCTCTTCCTCTTCTTCCTCCTCTTCTTCTTCCATAGCGGGGGCGCCATCCCGTAAGGCCGCAGTGGCCCGGCGCACCCCCACAGAACTCTCCGCCAGGCGAATGAATCTTGGCGTCCCCCCACGCTCCAAGCGGAACAACAAGGGTGAAGATGAGGCCGACGACGCAGACTCGGACGCTCGCCGAAAACAAAACTCTTCGCGAGGTAACTTTTATTCGACCTCCCAGGCCATCAATCTTCATCTTTCTCCACCCCCCCCCTCCAATCTCTCCGCCTTCATCGAATTTGCCCTCAATTCATCTTAATCGGGGCCGAAACACAATGTTATAGGCATTGGCGCCGCCAGTAGTGGAACGTCGAAGGACAGCGCTCGTGGAGGCCAGCGGGAGGGCGAAACTTCGCCGCAGGCTCGCCGCCGCGCGGCCACCGAACGGCTGACAACCTCGAGCAAAGTCCACAGCGCACGCGGTGACAAGCCGTCGTCTTCGTCATCGTCGTCCAATGACCGGCGCAAGGAAGGCTCGTCGTCGTCGTCATCAAGGGAGCGATCGGACTCGCAGAGGCGAGAGGTGACATCGACACGGGACGACAGCGTGCGACGCGATAGCGAGCGGGAGGCCGTGCGGCAGCGACGCCGCGAGTTCAAGGATAGCGGCCGGTCCAACTCGGAGCTCACCATCCGCTACCGGCCGCTCAAAGAGATGCGCGAGCACAGCGGCGGGGTGAGCAGCGGCCCGTCGGCCGCGGTGCGCGATCTGCGGAGTGGCGGCGGCGACCGGGCGGTCTCTGGCAGGGGCGGCGCCACGTCATCGACGTCGGGGTCGAGCGTGGCGACGTCGAGCGGCCGCGACGAACGCGCACGAGGCCTAGCAGCTCCGAGGGACAGCCGAGACCGCGACAGAGATCGGGAGAGGGACCGGGATCGAGAAAGAGAGAAGGAGAAAGAACGAGAGCGGAGGAAGGAGAAGGAGCGGCGAGAGCGCAAAGAGAAAGAAGAGCAAGAGCGAAAGCGAAGAGCCGAGAAGGAGGGAAAGAGCGAAGGCGGAGAAAAAGAAGAAGAAGAAGAGGAGGAGGAGGAGGAAGAAGACGACGAAGACTATGACGAGGACGACGAGGAGGATGAGGATCTCTACTACGATAGTGACGACTTGATCGAAAGAGATGAGCACGGGAATCCGATAGAACTCGATTACGATGATGACGGCAACCTGATAGAGCCGCAGCCTGTGGTAGTGGAAGAGGAGAAGGAAGAGGAGGAGATGCAAGAAGAAGAAGAAGAGGCAGAAGAGGGCAACAACAGCAACACGTCAAGCGACGAGAGTCAGATGGAGGAGGATGGCAGTGATGACGAGGAAGAAGATGAGGATGATGAGGATGAGGAGGAAGACGATGAAGATGACGATGACGACGAAGAGACCGACGATGGCGACGATTCTGACGAGGGCGTGGCGGGTGGCCGTGGCAAGATGATGGACTACGGCAACGAGGACACAGACGACGAGGTCACCGACGACTCTGATGACGACGACCAAAACGTGCGCTTGCCACCAAAGATTAGTTTTTTTCTCCCACGGTCGCTCACCTTCTTTTTCACATCATCAGAACGCGCGACGGAACCGTGGCAAGCCTCAGAGGCCGGTGATGGCTCAGCCGGCGGAGGTCGCCCCTCCAGTCAGGATCTTTTCCTTTGGTCGCAACCGGTGAGTGCCGCACACCCACCACTGCCCCCATCAACACCGCATTCTAACCCACTCGCGTCACCAGGTTGAAGGAACGGATGGCGCTGAGGACCAGCGAACCACCAGCGACCGGCAGCGAGTTGGTCACAGGTGGCCAGGAGCCCGAGGGTCAGCAGGCCGACCCTGCTGCCGAGGCTGCGGCTGAGACTGTGGTTGCCGTCGGCGAGGGAGAGATGGTGGCTACCACCACCACGGCGGAGGCGTCTCCCGCTGCCGCCGCAGAACCCAGCGCCGCCGCGACGGGGTCCAACCAAGACCAGGTGGTAGAGGCTGGAGAGAAGCCCAGCGCCGGCGCAGATGAGCCCAGCAACAACACCGCGGTGGAGGAGGGACCCGAGGGTGAGAACTACGGCTGCGTTGTGCTGCCTGACGGCATCACCGCTCCACGGTACAGCCACCACCACCACCACGTGATTGTTTTTGAAGAACATGAAGTGCTCACGGGCGTCTTTACACGCAGATGTCGCCTGTGTTGCATGTGGAAGGCGGAACCGCCGAGCGGCAAGCCCCACACCTGCAAACCGGCATTGCTCGGGCACCTGGTATGCACATCAGCATCACGCGTAGCATCAACCCACCCTAACCCCGCTTCCACACAGTTTGCACAGTGCCCCACGAAGAACATGCGCTCCCACATCAGGGAGCATTCCATCGTCATCCACAGAGGCGACGCCGCCCAGAGAGGACAGCTCATCGTCGGAGATGGTATGCACCGTTTCGACAGCAGCCAAGTTTGATGGTGTAGCGTTGGCTAACAGAGATGTGGTGCGATCACTCGCAGATTCGAACATTGGCCGGCCCATGCAGCGCGGCGAGCGCATAGTGCTGCGCCGCCGGCCGCTGTCGGCAAGGAAGGAGAGCGAGAAGGGCCGGAGCAACTCCAACCCTCCATCACCTACCTCCACCTCCAACGCCACCGCTGTCGCTCCCCTGGCCGGGTACTCACTTGCTCACGCGGCTACCTTTGCGTGTGAACGCGCTACAAAGTCAGATTGATTGTAACGTGCCTCTCTCTTTTTCTTTCTTTGGCGCAGGCGACCGTCGTGGTACACGTTGCAGAAGCAGCGGAGAGCGGGGCCGCCAAACCCACGACCCTCCGGCGATGCCACGCTTCCGCCACCAAGGCGCCCGACCGGCGACCTTGAACACAGCACCTGATGGGGGTAGATTGACCTAGAGCGGCGGGACGCTCAACGATCGTTGTACTTTTTGGAGGCATACGCTAATGAATGTGTTTGTTAAACAATCGTGATGCAGCGCTTGGAAGAGAAGCAGGCTAGTTTGGGTGGTTAGTCGAAGCGCCATCGGGAAGAAAAAGCTGTGCACTGTTATGTGGGACCATCAACGGTGGCCAAAGCGTACCTAAAGGCCATCACGACAAGCTCACGGACCATGACGAAGCACTCCGCGTGTCACAAATCATGCCCCAAAGTGTAGGCCTCCTCCACCGCTTCGACCACACAACAAAGTAGCAGGACAATGCGTCAATGCTGACAGTCACAGAAGTGGGGCCACTTTATGAGCTGTCGGCTGGTGCGAGCTCACTCGAGTTGCTCTTCCTACCATTGGCGGGCAGTGCCAGCACCGGCGAAGTGGTGGGAAGCTGAGCCAATTCATTCGCGACACCCCAGGTAACCGACACAGAAGCTTGAGGAAGTGGTTCGAAGTGGTGCACCACTTCGCCGGGGGAAGCAGACAGAAAGAGTTCTCGCCGCGGCTACACAAAACGGAATGTGATTGGGCGAGGGCACGTCAGCAACAAATTCCGGAGCTGACCCAACACATTTCGGCACCTACTGGCCGGGGTGATTTGAGTGATCTTCGCCTCAAGCGGTGCCTCCACGGTGTGGCTAGCAACATGTGTATTTGTGAAAGCGTCGCCTCTTCGAGAGATGTTGCCGTCAACATGTTTCTGAGGTCAAGATAACTCTTGCGGTGAACAGTTCACAACTCTGGAAGTTGGTGGCCAGGCCGGCAACGGTTTGGCAAGAACGTCTTGGCACCTTGCGATAGTTGGCAGCTAAAGTCACGGCCCCTCTCAGCGTTGACCGTGGCCAGCCGGGTAAAGTGGTGCGTTTTTTGCGCGCGGCAAGCACGGGGCTCATCTACCTCACCGCGGGCGTTCTAGTTGGTCTCAAGTACACGCGCCATGGTTGCAAGTCGTCTTGGAAATGGAACACCTAGGACGGAAGGAGTTTCGCTCACCCGAAACTGCGCCACCTAAGCGACCTGTTCATCAGGTGTGAATGATGAACTGAAGTTCTTGAGTTTTTTTCATGTTTGCATGGAATGTGAGGAATGATGATATTTGTTCGATCTAAGTGGTCGGATTTATGTGGGATTGGATGTTAGATGGTGGGATTTATCCGACTGTGATCCAATCAAGATCGAAAGTTCGCAGGCGAATGCTTGGTAGCGCAATATCCGCGCCGCACGTGCTATCGGCGCGTGCTCGCGAGAGCTCGGTGTCAGGCTGACGGTACCCTTGACGGCCTTCGGTCGAGGCCACGACCATGACTACGGTGAACCGGGAGGTGTAGTTGCTCGACGTCATTGAGCGCCGCAACGACCGGGCGAGAAACTACCAAGAGAACGAAAAAGTATAAAAGGCCGCCTTTCGTTCTTCGCTCACTTTTCTCTTCATCATTCGAACCCCAAACAACTCAAGCCACACGACCAGCTTCGTGTTCGTTCTCCTCCTTCATTCTTTTGTCTCGCAAAAAGAAATGTCGTATCGTATCGAGAGGAGGGACAACACCACGGCGAGCAAGCACCTGAACAAGGAGGAGATGCAGCAGGCCAAGTACGGTATCCTGCGCCGCGCTGTCTCCTGCGACATGACCTACCTCGACCGCCGCGACCACTACCACTCCATCTACTACAACAAGATGGTCTGCGCTCCCGGTTTCGGTACCCACTCCTTTCATCTTTCTGAGCTACCCCACTCTTCTCTTCACGCCCACCCCCGCGACGCCTGGATCCACTGGGACTTGGCTCCCAGCTTGATCAATTCGGAGTCAACCGCCGCGTATAAAAACGGGCCAATGGCCGCTCGGCTTCACCTCGGAGTCTCCTTTTCGAGGCTTTGTGAAAAGTCCGGGCGTTCTCTAAAGATTTATCGGACCTTTTTTCTATTGGTCCCGCATTTCCCATTATTATTTTATTCGTTGTGTCGCTTCACCAACCACAACAAATTTACCTCTAAATTCTATTACCTCTCTTGGTATCCACCCAGCCGTGTGCTCTGTGCGTGTAGAGATGACTTATATGATGATGAGCTCTCACTAACCAACCACCACCACCACAACCAATACTACAACTATAGAAATCGACCGTACGTCGGGTGGGCTCTCATACAAGGTGGGCGACTACTACCTGTCGAGCCTGCTGGGCCGTGGCGGCGGGGGCAGCGTCTACGAGGGCCGCCACAGGAAGACCAACAAGCGGGTGGCGATCAAGGTGGTGACCAAGAGCCGCACCGAAGAGACGCGCGCGGCGCAGGGGTCCAACCGCCGCGGCAGCGCGGGCAAGGACGCCAACGCGTCGGTGGCCTACGCCAAGAAGATCCAGCGCACGCGCAAGGAGTACACGGTGATGTCGCACCTGAGGGACCACCGCCACATCACCAAGCTGCTCGACGTGGTGGAGAACGACAAGGCCATCTGCCTGGTGCTCGAGCTGGGCGCCGGCGGCGACCTGTTCCAGCACATCCAGCAGAAGGGCCGCCTGTCGCTCTACGAGAGCTGGTTCCTCTTCCGCCAGCTCGTCTCCGCCGTGGCCCACGCCCACGCCCAGGGCTTCGTCCACCGCGACATCAAGCCCGAGAACGTGTTCCTGAGCGAGGACAAGAAGACCGCGACGCTGGGCGACTGGGGCTTCGCCGACGTGTGGTGCTCGTTCAAGGACCTCAAGGAGGGCGTGGGCAGCCTCAACTACTGCTCGCCCGAGATCGTCGGCGGCCTGCCCTACACCGGACCCGAGGTCGACATCTGGAGCCTGGGCACCTGCCTCTACGCGATGGTCACCGGGAACCTGCCCTTCGCCGCCGACAGCCCCAAGCAGGTGGTCATGAACATCAAGACCTCCAACTTTGTCCTGACCGGCAGCTGCGAGGCCGACCCGCTCCTCTACGACCTCCTCTCGCGCCTCCTCAACCCCAACACCCTGGAGCGCGCCAAGATGGCGGACCTCCTCGAGCACCGCTGGTTCCGCAACGGCCCCACGCTGGCCCACATCAAGGACCGCCGGAAGCGCACGGGCTCGGCGACCAACGTGCTGGCCACCAACAACCGCCACCGTACCCGCGTCAACTAGACCCGCCGACTTTCATCATCTTCTTCCCTTTTCATCTTCAACTGAGACACTACTCGAGTCGGGCACCGACGGCAGAGCGCCCACGCGCACCGACCGACCTCAACGACGAACTCTCTTCTTCTTTCTCTTTCTCTCTACACTTGTATGCATAGGCGGACGAGGTGGACAACCAACAACATGTATGACCTACAAATTAAAATTAGGCTCAAATAGAAATAGAACTACCACACAAACAACCTGTCGCCGCAACAATCATCACGCCGCCAAACTCTTCGGGTAACTAACTTTGGCCGCACACACCCAACCCACTGTATCGAGTTCGCGATCACCCCCTTTCATCTTTTGGCCCTCGGAGTGAGTTACCCAATGCAG